ATGCAGTATTTAAGGTATGGGCGTACCATGGTTTTACAGGATTATGATATTTTTGTCTTATCTATCCCTTTCCTAATGGTTCCGAACATTTGGCTAGCTTTTTTGACTGCTGCTGTTGCATATTGAGTGAGTGTTTTAAGAGCGCTATCCACAATGACTCCAAGATCTTTCTTGAGTGATAACAGCTAATTTAGACCCCATCATTTGTATGATATTTGGGATTATGTTTTCCATAATGCATTATTTTGCATGTGGCTTATGTCCAGAATAGGAGAATAAAATGGAAACATTAACGTTTTAAATCCGTTCCCTATAAAGGTTTTCTTGCTTTCCATTGTCAGCATCTCCCGCTTTACTTCTGTGTGGACAATCCGTGTTTGGCTGGCAAAACATATCTTAACCGTGCAAGATATAAGAAAGAATAAGTAATATCCTCTTTGGATCTTCATACTTTTTTTATCCCGAGCCAAAGGATGGACTGTTAATTATGATATTTAAAGTCCCAGAAATTTTGAACTATTAAGACTTTTTCTCCTTAGCCCCAAATACTTCTTGAAATATTAGGACTTACCCTTTTCACAGATGAGAGCACAACTTATCCCATATCATTTTCTCAAAACAGGAGTTCATTTTATTAATGAGGAGAAAAGGTTTTCCAGGTCATCCTGAGTTTTCAAAGCCCAGCTGCTCATGTCTTGTCTTATGGCTTTTTATCCTATTTACAATTAATATTTTAGAGTTCTGTAAGTGTTATTAAACCTTGTATCGAGGTAGGTATTCTCCAGTCCAAACCTTTGTTTCTATATTCTGTAGTCCTGGGGAAATAATTTTTTTTAGTCATTGAAATATTCTTGTAATGAGTATTTTATTAATAAGTTCTATGTTTCTTTATTCAGCTTTTTAAAAATCCAAATTCCCATCCTTAAATTGCCAGTAGTTTTGCAGCTCACACATTTCCCATCTTCGCCTGTGAAGATTTTGATTGGGGGCAAAAATTGGTCATTTGAAGGAGGTGGTTCTGAGTTTAATATGTAGCAGGGTAGCTTCCCATGTCCAGCAAGCTAAAGATTTTCACAGGATACAAAAACCAATGGAGCCAAGAATGGAGCCAAGAGAAGATGGCGACCAGCCTCCATCTTGTGCTTGTGTGCCTTTCCCTCTGTTGTTTTTTGTGTCAGTGTTAGGGGGGTTGTGTATACTTCTGGCTAAATTGGCACTGCTGCAATCAATGCAGCGGTGTCGATTTAGTGGGTCTGGTGAAGACAAGCTAAGTCGATGGCAGAGCACTCTCTGGTCAATGTCTGTATTCCACCTCCCTGAGAGGCGGAAGGTGAGTTTGTGGGAGAGCGTCTCCTGTCGACATAGGTCGATTTACAGTGGTGTAGATCAGACCTTACTATCAAATTAGTGATAGCAAAGAGGTTTTTGTGTCGTATTGTTTTTCCTTTGAAATGTTTACACTATCAGGTGGTCTTATTATTTTGACCTGGTTTTCTGAAGGCTGATTGAGGTGTAGAAAATGGAACTACGGTTGTCAGTTAAAAATGCTGGATTATTTTCCTTTTAGATATTTGGAAAAAATTAATCCAGTCCCCTTTAGGGTTGCTAACCCTCTAGGGTTGGTCTGGAGTCTCCAGGAATTAAAGATTAATCTTTAATTAAAGATTGTCATGTGAAAAAACCTTCAAGAATACGTCCAACCAAAATTGGCAACCCTAGTCCCCTCTCTGATATAAACTACTTCTTTTGCAATCAAAAGTGAGAAACAAACAAAAAAAGGCCTGGGGATGTATAAAATAATCAATAATACTGTTTTTGAAGCAAAATTTCACACAGACACAATTATATCTGCTAACAGATTTATCAATGAACTGGGATACAATAACTGGCAAAAGAAAAAAGAAACCAAAGTTAGTACCAAATGGGCACAATATTTTGTGGAGACATATTAATTATCTAATAGCTACTTAGATTTAAAGTATGTGGAGGACTGGGAAAAAAGGGATAGGATTAGAGGGAGAATTTGTGAGTAAAAATAAACATGTTTTTTCCATGTTATCCAGGGTATTCTTCTGGTACAGACCTAACAGGATGTTACAGAACTTTTAGCCAGTAAGGGGTGTTTGTGTATTTCTGCCCCCTCCACAGCACTCATTAATATTGCTTCATTTATTTCCTCCCTTCAAGATCACTCTTAATCTTCCAATTGCGAATAGAGAGCACTAATTTCCAGTGAGAATTACAGTAAATCCAAAAAAGGGCACAAAAATCCTCTGCTTTTCCCCTTTGTCTACTGAATCTCTGAGCGACAAGGTGGGTGAGGTAGTATTGGACCAACTTCTGTTGGGGAGAGAGACTTGCTTTTGATCTACACAGAACTCTTCCTCAGGTCTGGGAAAGGTACTCAGAGTGTCACAGCTAAATACAAGGTCAAAGAGATAGTTTAGCATAAGCAGTAAGCACATATTCTAAGGGACCATTCAAGGTGAAGTGACCTGTTAGCTCCCTTGTACTCATAAGATAAAAAGAGGCGTTAGTGTGTTACAGATTGTTATAAAACACCATAAATCTGATGTCTATATTAACACCAAAGAATCATAGGACTGGAAGGGACCTCAAGAGGTCATCTAGTCCAGTCCCCTGCACTCATGGCAGGACTAAGTATTATCTAGACCATTCCTGAGAGGTGTTTGTCTAACCTGTTCTTCAAAATATCCAATGATGGAGATTCTACAACCTCCGTAGGCAATTTATTCCAGTGCGTAACCACCCTGACAGTTAGGAAGTTTTTCCTAATGTCCAACCTAAACTTCCCTTGCTGCAATTTAAGCCCATTGCTTCTTGTCCTATCCTCAGAGGTAAAGAAAAACAATTTTTCTCTCTCCTCCTTGTAACAACCTTTTATGTACTTGAAAACTGTTATCATGTCCCCTCTCAGTCTTCTCTTTTCCAGACTAAACAAACCCAATTGTTTCAATCTTCCCTCATAGGTCATGTTTTCTAGACCTTTAATCATTTTTGTTGCCCTTCTCTGGACTTTCTCCAATTTGTCCACATCTTTCCTGAAATGTGGCACCCAGAACTGAACACAATTCTCCAGTTGAGGCCTAATCAGCACGGAGTGGAGCAGAAGAATTACTTCTTGTGTCTTGCTTACAACTGCTAATACATCCCAGAATGATGTCTGCTTTTTTTGCAATAGTGTTACATTGTTGACTCATATTAAGCTTGTGGTCCACTATGACCCCCCAGATCCCTTTCTGCAGTACTCCTTCCTAGGCAGTCATTTCCCATTTTCTATGTGTGCAGCTGATTGTTCCTTCCTAAATGGAGTACTTTGCGTTTGTCCTTATTGAATTTCATCCTATTTAGTGCAGACTATTTCTCCAGTTTGTCCAAATCATTTTGAATTTTTATCCTATCCTCCAAAGCACTTGCAACCCCTCCCAGCTTGGTGTCGTCCACAAACTTTATAAGTGTACTCTCTATGCAATTATCTAAATAATTGATGAACATATAGAACAGAAGCAGACCCAGAACTGTTCTCTGCGGCACCCACTTGTTATGCCCTTCCAGCATGACTGTGAATCACTGATAACCACTCTCTGGGAACAGTGTCTAGCAAAGTAATGAATTTAAGCTCTCAGGCTTGTCTTTTGAAAGGGCTGTTCAAGTTTCCTTTGAGGATGAGCACTGATAGGTCAGATATAGTGGAATCACTTTGTGAAAAGTGTTCACCCACAGGTGGCATGGGGTTTTTGTCTTTTATCATTTTCCTGTGTCAGTTCATTAGAGCGCGTGGTAATTGTCTGGCTTCACCCACATAGTTATCAGGACATTTAGTGCACTGGATGAGGTACACCACATGGTGTGATAGGCATGTGTAAGGGGTGTTGATCATTGTAGGAATGGAGATATGTCTGTAGGTTTTGCATCTGTTGTTCTGGCAGGATCTGATGCCCCTTTGAGTTGGTGTGGCCTGGTCTATGGGAAGCTTGCGTCTGATGATGAGCTTGGAGAGATTGGGGGCTTGTTTGAAGGCCAGAAAAGACTGTTCAGAAAATATTTCTTTCAGGATGAGGTCCCTCTTGAGTATGGATTGTAGTTTGATGTTACCACTTATGGGTTCCAGTGTGGAGTAGTAGGTGACAACTAAGTGTGTTCGGTCAGAGGGGATTTTATTTCTGTATTGAAGCAGGTTCTCTTGTGGTATTTGGGTGGTCCGTTCCATGATGCAATCTATACATCCACCAAACAAGGGGACTCCGCCAGAGAAGTAATTTTCATTAGCTAAAAATTACACCATAAAAGAAACCAAACAAAACTGTCATTTTCGTTTCTTGCTTGAATTGGATTTTTGTTTGTTTGATTAAAACTGGGCTAGCTATTTCTGTGGGTATGTGATAGCATTTTGGGAGCACAGTACTACCAATCATGAATTAATGGATTTGCAATATGTGAACTGTCAGACATCCTACAGGGTTTGAAATGTAATTAAAAAGGGCAATGACTGTTCAAGCCCTTCATAGTCCCTTCTAAAATATTATTCTATCACTAAAAATATTTACTCAGGTATAATTAACACTGTTTATTATATGGCATTTTTAAACATGGTGGCAAATTAATATACTATTGTAAAAAGGAAAGGGTAAAAGTTAGTTGCTTTGACAAATTTGGTCATCTTAACTTACTGTATTTTTACTTCAGTTTATACACGGCCTCTCACAGTATGCTGTTTTTATTATTTGGATGGACTACAATTCTTCACAATCCTTCTATATATAGCTCTTCTTGCTGAAAATGAATAATTTTTTGGTGTATCGGATCATACCAAATTAAGTCTAACAAATTAACTTAAATAAATTGTGCCACACTGTACTTGCCCTGCTGTACAGATTTCCTTATGAAAATTTCATACAACTTAATCCAAATTGAATAAATAAAAATCCCAAGGTAAATTTATTGCTAGAATTGAAATGTCTGCATCTTTGCTGTTTCAGTGACTTCTTGTGAACATAATTTTATTGGAGAATCCTGCCTTTCGCTGTCTGGATCCTTTAACAGTGTGCCAAAGGTGAGTTGACTCTGGCCTCATTCTCATAACTTAAGATGATAGGAAGCTAATTGGATGAATTAGTTGGTACGCTGTTTATTTAATGTACTTCAGTGCTTATAAATTGTTAAGCTACCAAAAAAAGTGTTAAAGCTTTTTCCTCCACTAATTTGAGCCAAGTAAATTTTAGCTCTCTTTCATAAGTGAAGAGGGTCAGATTTAAGAATTAGATATTGCTGAGAGCTGTATTTGGCTCTTATCCTATATTTTCTGTTATCTAGCTTCAGGATTTTTTTTACAGTGCTCAGCCATAGTTTGTTAGCTTTGCTTTATTAACAGGCTCAGCATTGATTCCTCATGGTTTCCTAAAAACTAGCTCCATAAAATAAATACTATTGTGTACAATGTTTAAAGACAAATAGAATTTTGTTTATCACTTGCTTATTGTACATGCCTTCTTATAAAGGAGGAGCAGAACTGTACTTAGTACATTTTAAGGATATTTTGGGGGGGCAGTCTCCAAAGACATGAGGTTGCCTGATTAAATTGTGTTTTATACAAGATTCATTGTACAGAAGAATTTTGTTAATTTCTATTTTTGTAATCCACACACCACACCATACCATTTGCACATGGCAACTGTACTCTGTCACCATGATTTGGCAGAAATTTATTACCAGAATGCTGTGTGAAGAGGCTTCATCTTACTAAGACCTCGGCTTTACAAAAAAATACGACAGAACACTGAATAGTCTTGTGGCTGCTGTACAGAGCTGGGAGTCGTAAGATCTATGTTCTGTTCATGGCTCTGCCATATATTTCTTAAATTATTGAGAAGAAATCATTTAATCTCTCTGCTCCTTAGTTTCTTCATCTATAAAATGAAGAGGGATGTTGTGTGAGACTGAGTTCTTGAAAATGTATAAAGCATTTGAAATCTTTAGATGGAAAGTAATATGGAAGTACTGAATGTGCTTTTAATTTGTTTTGAGTTCTTAAGAACCTGTATAATGATAGAAACTAAACATCACTTGTTAAATAAATACACAAGTGTACTTAGTAATGCATTATTTTTACTTTTTTATGTTTGCTTGTTTGTAGTGGCTAACTTAAACATAGTAATTTGTTATGCATTTTTAGCATAAATGTAGTGACATTTTACTGTATGTGAATTGGCAAAGATGCATCATAACAAAAGGGAAAACAAAAAAAATACCACTGACTTTACCAAACCTTTTTTAACAATACTTGTTTTTCATATGAAAGATGAAATGCCACTATTTGAAGTAGTATCCTGTTACATAATAGTCAAGGATTCACACACCACTTAGCTCAGAGTTTTGCCATTTCCTGGTAGACCTTGTGCGTCGATGTTAGGTGAACCACTTAAAATAAGAACAAAAACAAAACAATCCTTGTGAAATTAAGAAGGGGTATGTGTATGTGCACACATAAGTACTTTTTTTTGGGGGGGGGGCATACCTCTAGATTTTCTTCTTATAGTAGAGGTAGAAGTACTTGAACTAGTTTGGTAGAAGACAACATTAGAAGCTTTTTCTACACAAGGCACTGACGCATGTTTAATCTTAACCTGTGACTAGTACAGTTGCCATTTATGGGATAATTTACACAATTAAAGTTAAGGACATGCTTAAGTGCTTTGCTGAATCAGGTCCAAAATATGTACTTAATTCAAATTTGGGTTCACATAGGCAAAAAAATTATTTTGTGATATACATGGTTTATTTTTTGGAGCCATGTGTGGTTTTTATGCTTTTCATAAGTAATGTAGTGACTGCACATGTTCTGAGAATATCTACTTTCATATTTAATACACTAAGTGTCCTAGTTTTAAATGTAAGTCGTAACATATACATGGTCAAAATAGTCTGTTACATTGAAGAACACCATGTTTAATGTATAATGGTTTTCAGTAAATTTTATTGTATACAGATACTTGTTTGTCTAAGAAATTCAATTACCATATATACTTGTTCATAAGCCGAATTTTTTTAGTAAAAAAGGGAAGCGCCAGAGACGGGGGTCTGCTTACGAACGGGTATAGAGAAGGAGAGGTGGGACACAGCCCTTCCCCCCAACAGAGGGAGCAAGGAGAGGCAGCACAGCCAGAAGGGAAGAGGTGGGGCCAGAGTCTCTGGCCACGCTGCTCTCCCCCCAGCCTCCGAAGCAGCTGCAGCTCCAGGGCTGGCAGGCTGCAGCCACGCCGCTCGGACCCGACCCCCAAGCAGTCTGTGGCCACGCTGCCGGAGCACACTGCAGCCGTGTCACCCGGCCCAGCCTGCTGGAACATGCTGCGGCCGCGCCACCCGGTCTGGCCTGCCGGAGCAGGCTGCGGCCATGCTGCCCAGCCTGCCGGAGCAGCTCCAGCCATAGGTCAGAGACATCCTCCCCAGATAAGGTGGGAAGGGATGGGATGGGGAGAGTGTGGGGGTCCTGGGCTAGGGGTAGGGTCCTGTGGGGGGTGGTCACAGGGGTTACTCCCCTGACTCCCAGCTTCTCCCCCCACCCCCACCAAAAAAATTTCCCCACCAGTTGCTATCCCGGCCAGTCAAGGTAAGCAGCTGGCGCGCCGGGACACTTTGTTTACTTAGGTTTACCTCCATGCCTGTGGTAAACCTACAGGCATGGACGCTCGAGGTAAACAAACCATCTCGGATCACCAGCGGCTTATCCTGATGGCCCGGGAGCCGAAGTTTGCTGACACCTGAATTATAGGGTCATCTTATGGACGGGTTATAAAAATTTTCCATTTTTACTTATCGATCTTGGGAGGGTTGGCTTATAAACGAACCGGCTTCTGATCGAGTATATATGGTAATATCATTTGAAGTACAGAAGTAGAATAATCTTCGTTTTTCACTTGTAGAATGATTTCTGTCTTATTCAGAGAAATTCTTAAATGCCACATTAAAGAACATTTTGTGATGATAACCTCACTAAATTCTAATCTAAGATTTTTGAGAGAGACTGATTTGCAATAATTTGTTATCCCAGCATGAGGGTGTAAATATAGTCTGTTTTAGAATGTAATACTGCCAAGACTATTACTCTGCAGTTTTAAACTGGGAAGACTTGTTACTAATTTCTTTGAATAAAAAAAAAGGGTTACATTTTACAGTTTTACAATACAAGAAACTTGCTAAAGTATTTTGGATAATAGTCATATGTATACTGGCAAGGATTAATTTGGTTATAGACACAGAGAAAATGGATATATGGACGAATATTTTATAGGTAGTTTTTTTTTTAAGAGCATCTTTCTTCATAACCCTATATACTAAGTAGGTCATTTAATGATATACATGTGTGGAGAAGAGAGAATTTAAGGCCATGTCTACACTAGTACTTAGGTCGGCAAAACTTTTTTTGCACAGGGAAAAAACACACCCCTGAGTGACGTAATTTTCATTGGCATAAGTAGTCGTGTGCACAGTGGTATGTCAGCGGGAGAGAGCTTCTTCCACCAATATAGCTACCACCACTCATTGCGGGTGGTTTAATTATGTCAATGGGAGAGCTCTCTCCTGTCAGAATAGAGCAGCTACACAAGAGATCCTTACAGTGGCATGGCTGCGTCGGTACAGCTGTGCTGCTGTAAACTCTAGTGTAGATTTAGCTTAAATTGGACAAGATTAGGTGTAAACAGGTACAAATGAAAATTGTCACAGCCTCAAAATACTCAACAGGCTTACCAAAATAATGTCACGTTAGGTTGTGATCAAACATCTTCAATAAGTATTTCTCCAGGGCTTGTGTAGGACCAGTCAGTAAAGTGCTGAAGTAACTCTAAGTAGAGGTTACTCAACACCTTGTGGGATCAGGCGCTTACTATAGTATCTTAAATGTCAACTCTGTAGTTCATTAAAGGAGAAGAACCATAAATAACATTTAATAAAGCTAGCTGATGGCAATGGATGCTGGAATGCTTCCTGGAGCTTACTATGTTTGGGCATCAAGGTGGCTGAGACTGCTTCAGGATTTATATTAAGTTAAAACTTTTAAAGAAAGTATTATGCACTCTTCCAGCTTGATGCTATACACATTTTGGTGTAATACAAATTGCTAAGAGGGTAAAGAGTACAAACCAAATAGGTACATGGTGCCATGTCAAAAAAGAAAGATTCTGGTCAGGTCTACACTAAAAAGTTAAGTTTGCCCAGCTATGTTGCTCAGGGATGTGAAAAATCCACACCTCTGAGCAACATAGCTAAGCCAACCTCCTTCTCCTCCCCTCCTCTCCCCCCAGTGTAGGCAGTGCTAGGCTGCCAGAAAGATTCTGCCACTGCCTCTCATGGGTGGTAGATTTGAAGCACCACAGCTGTGCCGCTGTAGCAGTTTAAATGTAGACATAATTTCAGTCAATTATGTCAAGCAGCACAGATGTACCTGGTGTAAATCTAATCCTTAAATGCAGCTCTAGGTTTATATGAAAAAGATTTATTGAAATTTAGTTTCTTTTATTGATTGAAGTTAAGAATACTGCACTAAACCTCTCACAGTGACACAGTATTTTTAAACCATTGTTTTAGGCAATGAAAATTTATTAACGAACTATAAATACACCTGAGAAAGGAGTTGACAGTGTGTTATACATTACATAAATTATTTAATTCTTTCTCTTGATCAAAACAGTTAGCCAGCTTAAACAGATTTTTGTGTGTGAGTGTAATAATCAGAGAAGTCCTTATTTGGACATCAAAACCATGTTTGTTTTTAAGTAGTATCCGAAATGGATCATTCAAGAGCACTTGTTTGTACATTCAATGTTTGCACATTTGGCCAATCCTCATTACATTTGTAGAACTATAACATTTTCTGTCATTGTCAGAACCAAGTCTAGAATTTATAATTATAATTTGATATGGAGCCTTTTCACACTAAGTATCAGCATCAAATGCAACCCTGATCTGTTGTAACAGATAGTACCCTCTTATGGCTCTGAAGTGGTTTCTGTGATACACTGTTGTGATTTCAATCCAGTTTCTAATTATCAGATTCCA